GGGAGCTCCTGGATCCAATCTCAGCCTCGGATTATACCAACACTTTAAGTTTAGAAGAATTAGAGGTGTGACTGAAACACTTTTGTCCCCCACCTTTTAATGATGGCAAATCAGATCTATTGATAGAAATTAATTATTTAGGGCTACAAATGATCACACAAAAGATCTTCATCAGAATTATTTACTGCACAATACAAACACTAAACTACCAGGAGTACAGGATAAGATAGGACAGTGCTCTACACTAAAGCAATTGTTGAAGCAATTCTACTAAAACTGGAACAAAAGGAATAATTCTTAATTAGAAATGGATGGAACTCCCCCAGACCAACGCTCATGGGGAGATCTCTGCTCTCAACCTCCAGGACTGACCTTGGGGAGGTCCCCAGCCAAGGCAGGAATCTCCACACATCCCCTCAAGAAGGGTTCTGTTGGCAGAACCTGCCTATGTGAAAGGGGACCGGCCCTTTCTGGTCGAAAGGGATGGACTGACAGTCACTGGACTTCAGGGGTTGCCTCAGCATCAGGGGGTTCATTCAGGGTGGAAGCAGTGCCTGAAGCTCTTCCTGCAGTTGGGGCACTCAAAGGGCTTCGCTTACTGGTGGGTCCGTTGGTGTCTGGTCAACTTAGAGCTCTGGGTGAAGCTCTTCCCACACTCCCCACACTTGTAGGGCCTCTCCCCGGTGTGGATGCGCCAGTGGGTGACGAGGGTGGAGTTCTGCTTGAAACCCTTCCCGCAGTCGGTGCAGCGGAAGGGCCTCTCATCTGTGTGCATCCGCTCATGCCTGAGGAGACTTGAGTTGGTCTGAAACCTCTTCCCACATTCCAAGCACGTGTAGGGCCATTCCCCAGTGTGGATGTGCTGGTGGATGTGGAGGTTGGAGCTGTGAGTAAAGCTCTTCCCACATTCCCCACATGTGTAGGGCCGTTCCCCAGTGTGGATGAGATGGTGGGTGCGGAGGCTGGAGCTGTAGCTGAAGCTCTTCCCACATTCCCAACATGTATAGGGCCGTTCGCCAGTATGGATGCGCTGGTGTTGGATCAGGCTGGAGCTGTCAGTGAAGCTCTTCCCACATACCTTACACATGTAGGGCCGTTCCCCAGTGTGGATGTGCCGGTGTTTGATCAGGTGGGAGCTCTGGTTGAAGCTCTTCCCACATTCCCCACACGTGTAGGGACGTGCCCCAGTGTGGATGTGCTGGTGTCAGATAAGGCTGGAGCTCTTCCTGAAGCTCTTCCCACATTCCAAGCATCTGAAGGGCTTCTCCCCTCTAGGAGGCTGCTCAGGGACCACCAGCTCGGAGCTCTGGCTCAAGCTTTGGCCGCCTTCCCGGCACAGGCTGGCTCTTTCCTCCTCAGAGCACCCTGGGCTGGCTTTGGAGTCCCTCCTGTGGGGGGATCTCCGGGCCTTTTCCTCCCCGCTGCCTTCCTGCACCGTGGAGCCCTTCAAAACGGTCTCTCCCACCAGCTTCTCACGAGGGGATTTGTCCTCCGGGCTCTCCGTCCTCAGCTTGGGGCCTGGAGCAGGAAGCAAGAAGGACAGGGAGGGGATTTGCCTCCGGTCCACAGGGAAGGCCAAGGACATCCCCCCAACTCCGGCCCCGGCAGGACGGCGGCGGCAGCGGGGTTGTCCTGCAGCCGGGGGCCATGCTCGGCTGCCAGAGCCAGCACAACACCTGCCCAAAGGGCCACTGACTTCTTCCTCACCTGCCTGGGGGGCCCGCGGCATCTTCCTCTTCCTCACAGCCTCCTCCTCCATCCGCCCAAGCTTTGGGAAGGACAAATCCTGATGGGGGGG